AAACCGTGGTAAAAGTATTTCAGTGAAACAACTGGCGAGTAGTTTATTCACTCAATGTAAATGCTGTGAAAAAATATCATTGATGATGTGTAAAGTTTTTACACGTTTATAAACTATTTTTATTTTAGATAACACGTGTACAACATAAAACATTCAACATACAAAAAAAAACAACAAAAAAACAAGTCTGTTGTCCAGTTTCTAAACATTTCATTAGTAACCATATTGAAATATTGGACAATGAGGTTACTGGAAAATTGTATGCGAGTAATACACTTGACAGAAATTTTAAGGGAAAAAACAATACTACAGGTAAATACAGAGATTTTTTAAGTTTACTTCAAGTTTTACATAGCTGCGATATAGTTTTCCTGTTTGGTTTTTATTTGGTACTTAAACCCACAACAGAATAGTTGTTACGTTCTTGAGTGAATCATGTTGTGATCAGAAGAACTATTACGTTCTTGAGTGAATCCTTGTGTGGTCTGAATAGCTGTTACGTTCTTGAGTGAATCATTGTGCAGTCAGAATAGCTGTTATGTTCCTTAGTGAGTCTATAATTAAACGCTTTATCGCTGTCCAACGAGTTGTGGTCAGACAAGAAGGAAGTCTAATCCGAGGTCAGTTTGTTTCAAGGAGTTTATTACGGCTTAAAAGGGCAGTTCCTGGAAAGCTTGTGCGACCTACAGGTCAGTTTACAAAGGTTATAATCTTCCGAAACTTGTTTGATTCTGTTCTCGGCGAGCTTGCAGTTTGAATTTATTTCAACCTTCGGCACTACCCGCTTGTATGTCAAGACATTTTCGACAATAAAATGTAAAATGTGGGTTAAAGAGAATCCCTATATGATGAGCTCTTGTCAGTAGTTTTAAAATCGGGTATAATAGCTTTGAGCTCAGCTAAACAGTAACTAGTAATGTATCAGACAAAGCACAAGTTCTTGTGTTTGTCACTTATGTGGAAAAAGATGAATATTTTTTTTTTTTTAATTCCATCAAAAAATACATTTTAAAAAATATGTTTTATGTCATCTTAATATGTTAGAAAACCACCAAGTTGTAGCTTGGCGCTACATTTCGATAACATAAAATGTGTACCTCCCGTGTTTTGATGTATTGAATCTCTATCTATGAGATGTTCTGATCATTTATATAGGCCGAATTTATTTTAGCACAATCCTTCCACGCCACTGAAAAGAAATGGCCGATCTCTAAACAACGGGGTTTGAACAAATGGTTACAACAGTTCCGCCGCTCCAAAGGACACGAAGAGATATAATTCGTGCAAGAGGTGTGTATCACTTAAATGCAGACCAAGTCAGCGGCGTCTTAAGGCATACTGGGCATCTACCCAGGGCGTAATTTTTCTACGGAAACCTCATGCTTATATGTGGGCCTCATGCTTTTATGGGGGCCTTATTCTTCTATTTGGGAGGGGAGGCCTCACGCTTCTAAGGACCTTACTCATGCATGGCATCAAGTTGGTCACATTGTTCATGAAGTTTGAAAGATCTTTACGACTTTTGATTTGCTTTAAAAGTGCAGTAGAAAGCAAGTTTCCCAATTTATTTATTTTTTTAAACTTTATTTTTTTTAAATTTATCAAAACATTTCTGGAATCCTCCTAAAACGCAATCTCACTTTTCGTTCGGGAGCCTTCGATTTTTGTTCTTTCTCCCCGTTCAAAGTGACAGTACCGGTATCTTTTGATCTTCAAGACACCATTGGATACTAGTAACTAAAACCACCAAAATGATGTTCCATGAGTTGGTTATATATAACGTTGGACTGTCAATGCACAGATTCTAGGGGAAAAAAAAACTAAGCTCAAGCCAAGGCATACCCTCAGGAGTTGCCACAACAAAAAATAAATGTATGTTTATGCATGGCGTGAGAGAGATGGATGAACGGCATGATAACAGGTGCCCCGCCCCTTTCACGAATGCCCGAAGAGCCCTAAAGAGAGTTAGCCTACCCAGTAGGCACACTCGTTAGTTAAGATTACTCAAAAGCGCTTGCTTCCTTTAAACGCCGGGTCTGAGAATGTACCGTTTGGAGTTGGATGATATCCCTTATCAACAAACCTGCCCAATCATTCTGACGAATTGAATGAGTTATTATCAGATACAAACCAAACATTCCTTTGCCGCATTCAAAGTGTTATGCAGGGCGGGTCGAATGATCCAAGGAACATGTTTACTTCATTTCGTCTTATTAAGTCCAGAAAAAAATTGTGTACCAAAACCCGGGCACTACAAAGAAGATACACATCTCATTGTTGGGGCTGTCAGCACTATAAGTAAGTGTTGCTAAACAATCTAGAAATTGTTGGGGCTGTCAGCACTATAAGTAAGTGTTGCCACCAATCTAGAAAGAAAAAACTCCCATTGGAACAGCAAGTCCTTTGGACGCTTGAACTGAACGATCCCCTCTCCACGCTAAATAATGACGATCAGTGAACAAAATATTTCCGCTGTAATCTGATTTGTTTTTAAAAATCATATAAATAAATACTATGCTCCTATTTCATAACGTTTAATTGATAAAAATGTTTGATTGAATAGCAGACAATGGCTAAGCAGCATCGTTGCACTTATCAGATGGAGGGGATTTAGGGGTGGGGGGGGGGCTTCCCTCCCGGGGTGTTTCACAAAGTTATTTATTTTTAAGGGTGGCATTTTCGGCAAGCTCCAAATGTTTGTTTTTGTCTTCTTTTTTTTCTGTTTTAAGGGGTCGAAAAAATGTTGACCGGCCCTGGCTGGGACTAACCATAGATATGTCACGGACCGGATTTGCCCCGCGGGCGGTGGTTTGCCCACCTCTCTGATTTTGTCTATTGAGATAAACTAATAAAATTAATAATTTTTTTATTTGTTGATCATTTCATTGGAATTATCCGTTTAAAAATCATTTGCTGCTTCAATATTTTGTAAGTTGTGTTACATTCGATGGCATCTCCACGCCATTATTTGATCTCATGTAATCGGTCACTGTTATAGCAGCTCGGTGATTGCACGTCATCACTGGATTTAGACTTGACCCTTGATCGTAAGATTACACAGAGCCAAAAGAACGAGTCAACATTTTATTGTAAAAGATTGGATTTTGCCGATGTTATTTTTGCTTCTTTGATTGAAAATATTTATTTATTTATTTAGGCATTTTTATATAGCGCTTATCATAAAGCTCTAAGCGCTTTACAATTATTAAAACATGTAAACTAAGTAAATACAAATGAGACACTAGGATAGTAACTACTATTCTATAGAAACAATGAAAATGGCTATAAGACGAGGACACTTTGACACTTCAGGATCAACCCGAAACAGAAAATGAGGTAGGGCGAGGAGGGTGCATCACAGGTCATAGGCGGACCTAAACAAATGAGTTTTAAGGGACTTTTTGAAAATGGACGAGGTTTCACTATGACGTATATGGAAGGGGAGCTGGTTCCAGAACGTGGGCCCATGGAAGCAGAAGGAGCGTTCACCGATGGTCTTAGTTTTAGTTCTTGGGATTGAGAGGGTTCTACTGTCAATGGAAGAGCGTAGTTGTCTTGTGGGGATGTAAGGAAGCAACAGTTCAGAGAGATAGACAGGAAAGTGAGGGTCAGTGAACGAGTTGAAGCAAAGATTGGNTAACTTTGCTTTTGTGTGGGTTTTTTTTTTTTTTTTGGGGGGGGGGGCAAAATCTTCGGACGGCTAATTGACCCACTTTCCGTCAACCTATTAAGCTAAATCTTGGCACGTAGACTCATTTCGGTTTAATCATGTTTTAATATTATTTCAGCCCTAAATTCCGCCCAAAATCCCCCAGAAATAATTTTTTCCTGTTTTTTTTTTTTTTTTTCAAGGAGAAGATGTTGGAAATATGATGACACTGATTTCATGAAATGAAATTCCCCGTTAAATGCGGTAAATAGATTCCTTTTAAAAAGATATCGCAATAGCGTTTGGTGGGTAATATCTTTTTGTTTTAAACAGTCGGGGAAAAAAATTCTGCGGTTTAAAAGTGTGTGTGTGATTAGAATATTAATATTGTTTAGGACAGGCCTGCACAACTCAAAACGTAAGGCGGGCCGTAATACATTATGAAAAACTTGTGCGGGCCAAAAGAAAATAAGACAGAACTCGTGCGGGCCAAAAGAATATTGGTCAGGGGTAAAAACTGTTAAGAAAATAATAAGAATAAAGAGTTTTTCCTTACCTCGCAGGCCACAAAGTGGGTGCTGGCGGGCCACATGCGACCCGCGGGCCGTATGTTGTGCAGGCCTGGTTTAGGAGCGTGAAAAAAATATAAGCATTTGGGGAGGGGGGGGCATTTATTGGGATTGTTTATAAGGGGCGTTACCATAATGTATGCCTTGTGAAATTGTGAGCCCCACCCCTGCTCACCATTCATCGATATTACATTTGATAAAGGATCTGTACGAAAAACTTGGTTGTTAGAGGTTGTTTAATTTAAGCTAACAGTATGACGTCATTGGTCTTTAAAAAAAAATAATGCACGAAGGATTTTTATTTTTAAAAATCTGTTAATAAAATAATATTTTCCTTATTAAAAGAGAGTAGAACATGGTCATGTCCTAATTTTATTCTGATATGAAAATATGTTGTTGGTTTTATTTTTCTAAATGCATCACAAGTAATAAACAGGCTGACCAGTCGCAGAGAAATGGTCTAATCATAATGTCGTCACACGATGACGGAAAACTGGGTCTAAGCGGACTGTCCGATCGATAAGTGCCTCGACACGTCATGTGTTCGATACCTACTTGTAGCACACTGCTTTTTATAAATAGTAAACATTGGAATTTAATCAGAGGTCTGATTGGGCGACTACTTTCATTTACATGTATTCAGTACACTAAAATAAAGTAACCAATGCCAGTTGAGGTATTATCACATGATCATTGAACTGTATCGAACTGGAATATTCGGGAGAATAATCTATTTATAGTTTTGTTGCGTCATTGGGAAAAACCGCATATCATAATTACGTGGTTGTGCCAAGATAAGAATCGTTAGGCCTATATATGTACTGCATGGGTACACAACAAACTGGAGGACGATGTAACATTTATCTCCATAGAGGAAATAGGCACAGGTATGAAATATTTGTGTTTGTATAAGTTAAGTGCTAATGTCTTAAGTCACAATATGGCTAAGATAATTGATCTCGTGATGTTGTCAAGTGCCACATGGCCTAAGAGCGTGCTCGTAATGAGTATTCACGATACAATAACGTAAACTATGACAACTGAAAATGTTCTAGATAAAGATCACGTCTTCTATAACTTTATTAGAAAATAAATCAATGATTATTTCTGCTTGGGTGAATCGCCATTTTTATACTTTAAAAAAAAAAATCATAGTTATATTTCATGCAATGGAGTTCTCGCGCCATTTTGAGCTTTTTCGCTGGTGGCGTTTGAACATTTTTGTTTTGGGGCCATATTTAGACTGTATCTCTTGAGCCGTTAGTCTGTTATTCTGGGATCGTTTTGAGTCTCTAGTTCTGGGTCCGTTTGGAGTCTGTACTTCTGGTGGCCATCATACATTCTTTTATTTCTGTTTATAATTCATTTCTTTCATTTATTAAGGACCCTAGATGTCTCTCTGGACTCAAAGCTTTTCGATGCTATCATCAGATAACAACTAATCTATCAATCATCTTTTCATTGCTTGGAATACTTTGATATCGCTCAGTTGATACGTGCACGGAGCATGCGCAAGTTATTAAGGGCAGACCGATCTGAGGGTTTATATTTTGATCTTATTCTAAATTATTGGCTACAATTTCATGTGTTTGTAAACCTAATTGTTAGATACTACAAAATGTTCTTATTTCATGCAAAAGTTTGTCACATTTAGTAGGTAGAAAAATCATTTCATCAAATTTATCAATCTTTTTGCTGTAAATATGTTTGTTTTATAGATTTTTCTACGTACAATTAAATTTATTAAAAAATAATTGCCTGCGAATTAAATTATGATACAGTTTAATTCATCTCATTAGTTGACTGGACAATGGCTAAAATAGACGATAATCGAGATTCATTGACTCGGCTGAGGGATGATTTGGACAAACCTGAACAGCTACCATCTTATTGGAATATGAGTCATAATATTCCGGCACCTTTAAACCGCAGGGGAAACCCAAAGATGTTGGTAAATGTTGACAAGGCCACCAAGAAAGCTATAGAAAAACTCATAAACGCCACCTGGGAACAAGAGCTGGTGGGCAAGGGCGCTGACGCTAAAGGGCTAAACCATAACAGGATAAAAGTGTTAAGTGTTCAAAGGGTTGAAAACCCGGCTTTGTTTAACAGGTACCAAGATCAAAGAAAATTGTTATTAGAAAAGATGATTCGTGGCGGAGAGCCCAGTCGTCCAATTGGGTACATCAAGGGGACAAAAGGCGACCTGGAGACGACAAAAGAACTGGATGACTTCATGAAGAGTGACCTCATCAAGGACATCAATGAACACTATTTGTTACATGGGACCAAAGTGGAGCGAATCCCGGCACTTGTTCGACACGGGTTAGACCCCAAACATTCGAGTCCAGATGCCATGTTTGGAAAGGGGATTTATGCAGCGGAGAGCTCAACCAAGGCTGACCAATATGCAGGTAAACATAAGAACTCACGTCTATTTATGTAATGGTCCAAAAAATAAATAAATAATTGAAATGTTAGAAAGCTAGCTTCACAAACTTTAAGTTTAAGATAGATAATTGTAACATGATGATAGTTGATGTTCATTGCATGCTGAGCCGAAAGCACAATTTCATGTCAGTGTAGGAATACATACATATAAGTATAGAGAGTGTGGAAGTAGTTGAGCTACCATATTTGTAATGGATGGGAAAGCAGCTATGCAGATTGTGTCTCGCGAGTTAAGAAGGGTACAATGTGTGAGTGACCTCTCGTGTTATTTTCTAAAGAAAAATGGATTTTTTTATTAACTGTATTCCATTATTATTCCAAAAGCGAATGATTTTGTCCTGTGAAGTGTTCATGCCAATAAAGAATTTATTTGTGAAGACTTGCGATCCGTGTTAATACATGGGCACGTGAGGAATAATTATTAGTTGACCGCTATCTGATATTCCCTAAGATATCCGCTCAGGTCATGCCCATTTATACGATAATAACAGAAGAAGTTGCCATGATGTCAGAATAGAGAAAGGTTACAAGAGCATAATTTAACCAGATTATTCTAAATGAATTCTACTTTCTAATTCGTATGGCACTTTCTCGCTTCTTTTTATTTTTCATTCTCTTTTTTCTTATTCATGCAAATATTTCAATTCCATAAATATTTCTTTTTAAAGATGTGTAAATGTAAGTTTTCTGGTATGACTGTTACTGATCCGTTAACATTAAAGGTTAGTTAAAGAAAAGATAATACAACTATTTTTTTCTTGTTTATAATATCTTCTTTAAGAAACATGTAAAAATAACGTAAAAACTTTTAAAAAATGAGTGATTAAAGTTAGAAGATTATAGGATTTACTCTTAATCCTACAACCATGCATGATTTACAGTATCGACAGGACATGTATGATTTACAGTATCGACAGGACATGTATGATTTACAGCATCGACAGGACATGTATGATTTACAGTATCGACAGGACATGTATGATTTACAGTATCGACAGGACATGTATGATTTACAGTATCGACAGGACATGTATGATTTACAGTATCGACAGGACATGTATGATTTACAGTATCGACAGGACATGTATGATTTACAGTATCGACAGGACATGTATGATTTACAGTATCGACAGGACATGTATGATTTACAGTATCGACAGGACATGTATGATTTACAGTATCGACAGGACATGTATGATTTACAGTATCGACAGGACATGTATGATTTACAGTATCGACAGGACATGTATGATTTACAGTATCGACAGGACATGTATGATTTACAGTATCGACAGGACATGTATGATTTACAGTATCGACAGGACATGTATGATTTACAGTATCGACAGGACATGTATGCATGTTTCCGAAGAGTATTCAGCGCACCGTGAGATTGAAAAAAAAATATATGAAAATGAATTTATTTAGGAGCAAAGAACGGGAATTTATGGATTTGTCTCAAACTTAAATATTCATAAGATCCCAAGAGCTTCAAAACTAAAGAGAGATAGCAATTTAGTTTTCGGACAGGTCTTAAAGTAGATTGGAAACAAGTTTAAATGACTCTGGTTTACCGCAGATTTCAAACAAACACTTTTCTCCTTTTTAATGACTTGAACAAAATGGAGAATATGTACCTTAACTTTGAAGTTTGTATAATACATTAAAAAAAATTAGGATGTTAGAGAATATTGGTCTAATAAATTTACCAAATATTAGCATGTTATAGAATATTGGTCTAATAAATTTACCAAATATAAGAATGTTATAGAATATTGGTCCAATCCATTTACCAAGTATTAGCATGTTATAGAATATTGGTCTAATAAATTTACCAAATATAAGAATGTTATAGAATATTGGTCCAATCCATTTACCAAGTATTAGCATGTTAGAGAATATTGGTCTAATAAATTTACCAAATATTAGCATGTTATAGAATATTGGTCCAATCCATTTACCAAGTATTAGCATGTTATAGAATATTGGTCTAATAAATTTACCAAATATTAGCATGTTATAGAATATTGGTCTAATAAATTTACCAAATATTAGCATGTTATAGAATATTGGTCCAATCCATTTACCAAGTATTAGCATGTTATAGAATATTGGTCTAATAAATTTACCAAATATAAGAATGTTATAGAATATTGGTCCAATCCATTTACCAAATATTAGCATGTTATAGAATATTGGTCAAATCCATTTACCAAGTATTAGCATGTTATAGAATATTGGTCAAATCCATTTACCAAATATTAGCATGTTATTGAATATTGGTCAAATCCATTTACCAAGTATTAGCATGTTATAGAATATTGGTCCAACCCATTTACCAAGTATTAGGATGTTATAGAATATTGGTCCAACCCATTTACCAAGTATTAGGATGTTATAGAATATTGGTCCAATCCATTAACCAAATATTAGCCTCTTATAGAATATTGGTCCAATCTATTTACCAAGTATTAGCCTGTTATAGAATATTGGTCTAATCCATTTACCAAGTATTAGCCTGTTATAGAATATTGGTCTAATTCATTTACCAAGTATTAGCATGTTATAGAATATTGGTCAAATCCATTTACCAAGTATTAGCCTGTTATAGAATATTGGTCTGATTCATTTACCAAGTATTAGCATGTTATAGAATATTGGTCTAATTCATTTACCAAGTATTAGCATGTTATAGAATATTGGTCTAATTCATTTACCAAGTATTAGCATATTATAGAATATTGGTCTAATTCATTTACCAAGTATTAGCATGTTATAGAATATTGGTCTAATTCATTTACCAAGTATTAGCATGTTATAGAATATTGGTCTAATTCATTTACCAAGTATTAGCATATTATAGAATATTTGTCCAATCCATTTACCAAATATTAGCCTGTTTTAGAATATTTGTCAATATTAACAATTAAGTATGAAAAAGAAGACCTAGTTTTTTTATCACCTTTTACAGATACAGAAGACAAGCGACGACCTCACAAGTACAGAAATAAGATGATCTTATCCAGAATGCTTCTAGGAAATGTTTTTCTCTGTAATGAAAACCATAAATCAGTAGCAAACAGATGCAAGTATTTTTCTTCTCTATGAATTATCATCACAATAGTATATAAAACTCTCAATTAATCATCACAATGGTATAAAAAAACTTCTATATTATGAATTATCACAACAATAAAGAAACTTCTCTATGAACTATCGCATTAGTATGAAAACTTCTCTGTGAATCATCACAACTAAAATTAAAAGATGTAGGATTAGGATGCCAAATTAAAGTACCTAATTTGTGTTTATTGTTCAGGGCTACCCAAATAAAAACCCAGTAAAATGACCACATAAACAGACTATAAACTATTTTAACTGAGAGCTTTGCATTTAGAGTATCGGGGGCGCGTAGCCCTCTGACCAGCCTCGTAAAATTTTGTGTTTCAGGTCCCATGCAATAGTTGGGCTGAAAGAGATACATTGATCAGCTTATCACCTTTCGTTCACATTTAATCGATTGAGGTTCTTTTGGTATCTGCAGGATCGATGGAAATATCAATTTATAAATACAGTTATTTTTAATTGTGGGGGTGGGGGGATTATCTTGGTTTAAAATGAATGATGTCCCTTTATTTTTCCAGATGGCCCGAAGTTGAGTGGCCCGCCGTGCATGAAGTGTTTAGAGGACAGATGTCGCTGTGCCCAGTCAGAGAAGTTCGATTCCGTCATGGGTGACCGTCATTTACGGTTCAGGGAGTTTGTCGTATACAAAAAGGAACAGATTTATCCGGAGTACGTTATCACATACAAGAGATCAATGTAATCACATGGACCACGACAGGAAATCAATGCAACCACGTGGACCACGACAAGAGATCGAAGTAGTCATGTGGACTACGATACATTGGGAGATGTGATGAACAATGGGACAAAGAGACAGAGATATTTTGTACTTGGGAAAGTATCATGAACTTTTGCAAGGCTTGGAGAGTATTTCAGTTGTCTTAAATATTTTCACCATGACGGGCTGGCAGAACTTATTGAATTGACAGGAGACGATGGTCCAATTCATTGATCAGCATTCTCTATTGAAGTCCTTTAAATGTTCAAACAGTTTTAACAGACGCACGACTCGCACATGTCAAGAAAATTACGGCGATATTCTTGAGTATTTGTGTGACCCAAACGTTTAAGTCTTACGGATGAAACCCTGGTCCGAGTGGAACAAAGAGCCTAAGTTGGGGATATGACGATCTAGTGGCAGAGCCAACATTCCAAACATTGTTCGAGGGCCAACGTCATCGACTTAATTTTTATTCACTTAACGTTTACGTGCGTATGTATATGTTCGTACTCTTGACAGGCTTAACGTAGTTGTTGATTCTTGTGTCAACGAATGTTAATTCCAAGAAATGTTAGCAATTCCAAGAAATGTTCTTGTCACTGAGCCCACGCTGTCATTGTAAGTAATTCATTGAAACTGAAACTGAAATAGAGCGCTGTGTAACGATCACCTTGATTTTGATACGAGTGGCCACGGACCAGTTGCGTTACTAGGGTTGGCGCCACCCAGGGCGGGCCAATATCTTTTGCCAGCCCCTTCTACGATTAAGCCACAAAACCCCCGCAGTTAGTTTAAATAGTCACATAGAGAGTTAGTGAGCGGAGAGAGAGAGAGAGATAGAGAAGCGGAGAGAGAATGAGTGGGAGTGAGATAGATTGACATATATAATATGTAAAATTTTATTCCAAAATAAAGGAAGTGTTGTGTTTGTAAGTACCATTTCTAATTGCGATATCCTGATACTCAAATTCGATTAATTTGTATGCTACTGTCGACCACATGGTATTCTTGTCCATGAACACCATTTTAGTATTCTTGTCCATGAACACCTTTTAAGTATTCTTGTCCATGAACACCTTTTTAGTATTATTGTCCATGAACACCTTTTTAGTATTATTGTCCATGAACACCATTTTAGTATTATTGTCCATGAACACCTTTTTAGTATTCTTGTCCATGAACACCTTTTTAGTATTATTGTCAATGAACACCATTTTAGTATTCTTGTCCATGAACACCTTTTTAGTATTCTTGTCCATGAACACCTTTTTAGTATTCTTGTCCATGAACACCTTTTTAGTATTCTTGTCCATGAACACCATTTTAGTATTCTTGTCCATGAACACCTTTTTAGTATTCTTGTCCATGAACACCATTTTAGTATTCTTGTCCATGAACACCTTTTTAGTATTCTTGTCCATGAACACCTTTTTAGTATTATTGTCCATGAACACCATTTTAGTATTCTTGTCCATGAACACCTTTTTAGTATTCTTGTCCATGAACACCTTTTTAGTATTCTTTTCCATGAACACCTGTAATGGTCCTTTCAATGTCATCTTATAATGTAAAAAAAAAAATGGAAATAAATTGAACATGTGATTTATTTTAGTTTTTTATCACTTGCATTATTTCATCAAAATGTCAGATGATTACAATTTGTTTTCAAATGAACTATTTTTATAGCAGTCTTTTATAATTCAGTCGTAAATTAATATTTAAAACTGGCATGCATGAAGTATGTATTTAATGGATGCTCTTGCTGCTATTCAAAAGTGTCTCTATTTTCTAAATAACCATTATTTTTAAAAACTGCTGTGTTTATGATCTGTTGTATAAAAATTACGACGTTCTCACGAGTTAAATGAGAAGAAATAGACCTAAAGTTATTATAAAGAAAATTAAAGTGTTATTTTCTTCTATATACTAACTTCATCACTCATGATAATTCTCTAAGGTATGCATGCATGGCGCAAAATAGAATTACAAGAATTTAACGCCGAGTAGGATTCTTATAAATTACTTTACTTTGAATGCAATGTTTTGTCAAGTAACTTTATTAGATGGGATTTGATGGGAAGTTCACGCATTGCCGCTTCCATTGTTGGGGGGTGTTATTTCTAATTTAACATTTGCAGAAATATAGTTCGTTTTTTTTTTAAATTAAAGCTTCCATCATGTCATTGAAAAGTTATACCCTCAAATCCGACTCAACGAGACAAAAGAAATAGTTTGAAACATGACGTCATTTTACACTACTGCATTTTCTACGGAGCGGTTGTGATTTTAAAAAAAAAATTTTTGGAAAGGTTGGTGGGGGGGGGGGTCATCCGTTTGTCTGAGTAAGACGATCGTTTTTGCAGGACGATGTTTTACAATTTTGTTAATGAATTAATTTTGTTGCAATTTAAGCAGCTTCTCTATCAGAAGATTCCCCGACCCTACGCAACTGATGAACCAATGAGACCATTAAATGGATGATACACCTTTTCCAGGTGTTGGCGGAATTTTCATTGAGTCCATATCATACTACCTGCCTGACCCACCTGCGTGTTGCTGTTTTTTTTTTCTGTTGCCTTTGACTCCCTTAGGTTTTTTAAATGAGAGCTTCCTTCTCCTCGACTAACTAATCCCTCCAAATTCAACGAGTCCCATCCGTTGGGAATGCTGCTGCTGCTGCTGCTGTTGTGGATGTTGCTAGTCAGGAGTTTTGCTGAGGTTTGAATTTGTGCATTGAAATCCGTCCAGCTTATAAGGTTTTTTTATTTCGAATGAACACAAATGATGACATTTTATCACCAGGGCAATCTGATGTTGAGCTAGAAACTCTAGAAAACATCTCTGGTGTATGCAAGAACGCAAGTTTCCCCATATTTTTTTTCAGTAACAGCAAATTTTATAAACAACCCTAATGAATTTAAAAAAAGCAACTCCTTGGTGATCCAATGAAGTGTCACGTTCCATGACTTGTGAACCTGTGATTAGAAGCTCTCAAAAAGGTAGGTGAACGTAGGAAAATAAAAAGATAATCCAACGAATGGTTTCCTGTCTCGTCTGCTGGTGAAGGCTGCTACATTCATTGGGTTATCCTTTTTAAAATTCTTGGTATTAACTTCACTTTTGTTCGTCACTCGCGGGAGGCCTGGGGAAAATCTTCGGAATGCTCATTGACCCACTTCCCGTTGATCTATCGAACCGAAACATGGCAGAAAGACTCGGTGCCGATGACAACGTATTTATTCAAAATTTCCCCCCCCCCCCCCTTCCCAACCCCACGCTAAAAAATCCTCACTTTTCAAGGGGAAGATAAAAGAAATATTATGTTACTGTTTTCACGTTAAAAAAATATCCCGAGAGGTAGAAGGGGTATGACATATTGGATGGCAGCGACTGTGATTTCTCGCTGTCTGAAAAAGGAGCACGAGGAAAGCCAAGAGAGAAATCAACGAATGGGAGATCATTGCTGAACAACGTTCGACTGGCCAACAGCAGTATATGAAGGATCCAAAAAGGCAGGCGGAAGATGCGCGACACGAAGCCCTGAAAACAAATAGAGCATTACGGTAGGTCAAAGTTAACCAGGGGGGTCAAGGTTATCCCGTGAGAAGTGCAGCCGAGACTGCCATCCCAGATCGACCGGAAAGAAAGTCTTCTGAGCTTTTCTTTCGTCAGGAACTTGTTTTCATTCTTATTCTTTTGCTTTCTTTCATTTTAAGTTTACGCATTAAAAGAGTGTTGGACTGCAAGTAGATTAATTAGACACAACCAATTTGCATAAATTAAGCAATATAAGTTCAGCTTAAATAAAGATCATACGGAATACAAATGTAAACGTTTTGACAAATATCTTAATCATATTAAACACTGTTTGATATTAAACACCGCATGAACCGACTAATCAAGAAAGCTAGGAACATAACACTAACTAAACATCCTTCACTTGAAAAACTATTTGAAGAAAGATGTTTTTGTAAAACTGAACACATTTTGGATGATACATCCCACCCTCTTCATCACAGATACTGAGGATCGGGCCGTTCGGGACGAATTCTTTCCATCAGGGCGAGGACTGACAGATATAAAAATTCTTTTGTTCCCCAATCTGTACGAATTTACCGGCGTGCTTCCTCTGAAGTCACACATCTGAATGAGAACTAATAAGTCCCCGATTCGGCCAAGAGAACTCATTAAATGGCTGTTTGAAATAATTTATTATAAATGTCTTGTGTTCAATTGTTTTATTTTTGTGCTGAAAATGTACAATGCAATCAAAAACATTTCCATTTATTTGGATCAATAAAAGAATCTTATCTTCATCGGTAAAAAAAAAAAGATCCAACAAAAAACAACATTCATTTAAGTATAAATTAAATGTACATAATATATTTATACATGTATCCTTAGTAGTAAACATACATATACCCACACACACATATATATGTATCATCATCATCATGTCCTTTAGTCCTTGGACCGTTGGGGCGCCACAGAACCATCCTCATCCATTCGTCTCTGTCTTCTGTACTACCCACAGCATCGCCCAGTGTTAGTCCTGTCCACTCTTTGATGTTATCCTCCCATCTTTTTCTTTGTTTTCCTCTTCTTCTCCCTCCTCTTGTGGTACCCTGCAATATGTCTTTGGAAAGCCCTTGTTTCCTTGTTACGTGGCCGTACCATTTTATTTTGCGTTTTTTCACAGTCACCAGTAGGTCATCGTACTCCCCAATGGCCTGGCGAACCCTTTCTTTCACCGTATCATTGGAGATACGGTCCCTATAGCGATGCCATATATATATATATATATATATATATGTGTGTGTAAATTTAATTGATACGTAAATGAGTGGGTTTTTGTATTGTATATGCAGTAACCGAAACGTTTGCATTTGTGTTCTGTGTATTCAAAATTAAAGTTCAACCTGTAATTTTATTTGACACAATTGTTTACGTCTCATGAAACCCACTGAAATCTTAAATCGCAGTCCAACACTCTTAAAATATAATACATACATTTCTCAGAAATGTTATATGGGTTTGAAAACAGCCTATATATAGTCGTCTTATTTAAAGGACGTTTCTCTTGCTTCACAGCGACGTGTCATCCCATATTATGTGAAAACCACATTCTCTTAGTTTAACATTGTAGTTAACTTATAAGAGCATTTTACGCCACCAAAAGAAAAAAAACACAGCACGCCATTCTCCAGTATTCCCATTAGGACGCACCGAATCGCACGCGTGCTCTGTAAGTCGTGTTTCTAGTGACATTGTGCAGCCTTGAGCGTCCATTTTCTCGAAACAAAGGATTCAAGATTTGTTCTTTGTTGGCTCTCTAGAATAACACGATGAAGGTAGATAAACAAGAAAGTAGTGATGGATCCGATAGTACATGACTGTCCATAGGAGGGGGGGGGGGCGGGAGGATCTTTTAGAATAATAAATATTATTACATTTATCTTAAGCATTAAAAAACCAAATTTTCAAACTTGGCAGTACGAAATAGAAATGTATTTATCATGTGTTCACCTACATTTGTCATTTTACTGAAGAGTAGTATTGTTTTTTGGTCCTGTTAGAGCACATTTAATTCAAACCAAATACGATTGTATATTAAATCTATTTTTAAATGCATACTAAGTGAATTTTATTTGTGTGATTTTGTGTTTGTTTTAACAGTTCTGTTTTAAAAATATAAAATTAAACATTGCAAAAAAATCGCCCCCTCCCCCTTTTCCCCCGAAACCATCACTTTTTTTCCGTTTTTTTTCTTTATCCAAACCTGTTCTATATTTCATTTTCAATTTCCTTTCAGGCTGTCTGGTTCTTGGTGAGTTTGCATTCCCTTCAGGCCGACCTGATGCTCACTACCTTGCGCAAGGAGAAATACATTGTTAAACGGCTTTAGTCAGACTAGTTCAAAACAGTTTTTTTAAAGAGACATCCATCATATGGGTCACACTGGGCTTACTTTATGTCGTTAAATCTAAGGATTGTTTTCTCGATGATGCCACTATAGAAATATTGTATGGCATCCCATGTAGTAGTTATTATTGTTATCTTCCTTGAGTGGACAGCTTGAAAATCGCTTTCAAAATCGCACATTTCTCAACACAGATAAGCTAATATACGAAGGGAGACCTTGGCTTAGTTCATGTTGGTCCAGCTATACCACAGGACAAATCCTTCCGTCAGCATAGCTAAATCAATGCATACAGCTTTCTGTCACAGTAGCTATATTACCACATTTATCCTTCTGTCAACATAGCTATTTAACCGCATGCATTCTTCTGTCACACTACCTATATCACTATATACATCCTTCTGTCACCGTTGCTAAATAACCACATACATCCTTCTGTCACCGTAGCTATATCACCGCATACATCCTTATGTCACCCTAGCTATATCTCTATATACATCCTTCTGTCACCGTTGCTAAATAACCACATACATCCTTCTGTCACCGTAGCTATATCACCGCATACATCCTTCTGTCACCCTAGCTATATCTCTAATATACATCCTTCTGTCACCCTAGCTATATCTCTATATACATCCATCTGTCACCCTAGCTATATCTCTATATACATCCTTCTGTCACTCTAGCTATATCTCTATATACATCCTTCTTTCACCCTAGCTATATCACCACTTTCATCCGTCTATTCCCATAGCTATATCACTGTTCAAATCCTTCTGTCACCATAGCAACACCATTGTACACATCATTCTGATCTCAACCCTTCCCACTTGTATTTTGAAACGCGGTGAAGTAAGCCACGGTCTCGTCTAATCCCAAAACAAATTCACAGAAAGAAACCTCTCATCACGTGTTTGTCGTCTCTCCGTCAGATCTGTCTGCGCTACGCCTCCTCCCAAGAGCCTGAAAACAACTGTCCGGTAAGGGACCGCGGCAAAGATGATATGAACGTCCTCATCTCGAAGTACCGCAGGTTCCGGCAGGACCCTAACCGCTTCCCCACCATCCTGTACGAAACACCGAACGCACGTGAATATTTAATCCGAATGAAGTGTGGCAAGATGATGGCAGAAAAGCCGCAATACAAGGAAACCATTGAAATGGCACCGGAGAAGGCCTGGCCCTGGCAGGTGCTTGTCGAGGTCAAGAACGGGAGCTACTGTGGCGGCATCTTGATTGGGGACATCTGGGTGTTGACCCCGGCGACGTGCAGCGATATCAAAACGCTCTATTTCGGGGTGAGAAACGTGCAGGACAAACAGGCGGAGAACGTGCAGACGAAGGCGGCGGCGGAGGCCATCATCCACGACGACTTCAGCCAACCGGAGCTGGAGAGCGACATCGCCCTCGTGAGACTGGACAGCGCCGTCTCCTTTACCGACCACGTGAAGCCGATCTGCATCCCGGCGCACAGGGTGGACATGAAGACGATCGCCCGCTGCCACAGCACCGGGTGGGGCCTGCCACGACCGGGCGCGGCCAACACGCCGGGCTCCCTGAAGCAGCTGATGGTGTTCCTGATGAGGCAGAGCGTGTGCGTGTACATGAAGAAGATGGCCAACTGGTACACCGACAAGCGCAACCTGTGCACGGAGACGAAAGCGGGACTCCAGGGCGACTGCGGGGCCGACGTGGGCACGCCCCTGTCGTGCATCGTGGACGACGCCTACTTTGCCATCGGTATGGCCCTGGCCGTTCCAGTCCAGTGCGAGACCGGCTGGCACCCGAATGTGTACTTGCGGATATCGGAGTTTTCGCAGTGGATCCTCTATAACATTGAACAGCATTTGAAAACCACTGGGTAATCTTTCTGATGTTTTTTGAGTGAAGTGTCTATGAAAGCGCCTGCTGTTGCTGACATGACATACGACCTCGTCTCGAAGTACAAAAAGTGGGAAATAATCGGGTAAAAAAATATTCCTTGAGTCTTTTTCTCTAATATCTGCGATCCGCTTAATTTTAATGTCTCATCCAATTCATAGATAATCTCATATTTGCCCCCATTTTTCCGGCTTGAAAACAATCCAATCACGTCACTTTTGCCTGGCCGTTGGATATGATTAAGTTGGAGGTTGAGTCGAAAATGTTAAAGGCTTTCCAATCTTGTGTTCACTTCAGCATTGAAAATAACAGAAACACCGGCAACCCAAAAAAATAGATTAAAAAAACAAACATTCAAAATATAATTAAAAAATAATAATGAGGTTTGTCTAATGCGTTTTCCCATATTTAATGTTGCCCGTAAAGGTATCAACCGTCCATTGCATTAACTATTAGTCACCTTATAAATGCTTCATCAATTAGGCATAAAATATTTACAAAAATCTGTTCATAAAATATTCAATAAATGATGTCACTCCATGTCGCCATCGTATGCTCTTCATCTAGACCAGCACTAAATGCTCTATACGAGTTATTTCTAAGGACGACGCTTAGACCTTGGACAGAAGATGAAACGTTTGATGGCAATGATTAGACTGTGTTCTAGTTATCATGTGAGAGGTCACGGTTTGGATCTGGAGTAGATTTCTTGATTATGGTGAATCAATGCATTCCACGTGATCATTCATACGCCACGAGCTCTCATTTCCTTGTTGCTCTACGTCTTATAGTTCAGATTGTTTCGTTTTCAGAAGAGTTAATTAAAAAAGTGTTTACTTGAAAAGTGTGGTAATGGTTTTTGCTTTTTAATATAATTAATATGTGTTGTTCAATGTGATGTAAATTAAATAAAAATAATAAATAAATAAATATTTATATATATATTACTCATAAATTGAGTTTAAAACCAATTCATTATTTCCTTAAACGGTATTCTATGGCAATCTATAGAATCCCAATCCCACCCAGTGGCGTAGCGAGGGTGTTTGGCGCCCGGGGACAAGATTCGCGCCCGGGGACAAGATCCATTTTTAGCGCCCCTTTTTCTTATTTTCAACTCTCAAACCCATTATTTTCATCAGTAAAATAATATCAAAGCACATTTTGGCGCCCCTAACTAGCTGGCGCCCGGGGACATATGTCCCCCCAGCCCCCACCACGCTACGCCTCTGATCCCACCCCGCTCCCACACACACACTCATACATATACTACAGTGTACTCGGATCTCACTACAGCGCTATCATAAATAAGAGAGATTGGACAAGTCAATCTCCAAAACCTCTGAGCTATCTGTCAACCAAGACTATTCATATGACGAGGATTAGGATTCCCCCTTTCTGTTCTCTCGGATACTGCATTTATTATTATTATTATTATTGCAAGTGGTGGTTTTTATATAGCGCGGTACCCCAGCCTAGGGCTGGGCTCACCACGCTGTACATACAATTAAACCAACATAATAATGAACTTAAAAATTAAATACATTGATTAAGTAAAACAAAACAAATGTATATTCAATCCGCACATTCAAGAACTATTGACATGTCAAGCCATGGTCGGCTACCCAGCAGCATCGTTTAAGCGATCGGGGGGGGGGGGTGATGTAATGCTGTGTTTGTTTTAAGCTTTTACATTTGTGTTCCTGGTTGAAGAAGGCTTCTTGCCACCCTGATCATTCTTTTGGTGTGTCCTTTTTTTTTAAAAACAAAACAAATGTATATTCAATCCGCACATTCAAGAACTATTGACATGTCAAGCCATGGTCGGCTACCCAGCAGCATCGTTTAAGCGATCGGGGGGGGGGGTGATGTAATGCTGTGTTTGTTTTAAGCTTTTACATTTGTGTTCCTGGTTGAAGAAGGCTTCTTGCCACCCTGATCATTCTTTTGGTGTGTCCTTTTTCTTTATTTTTTTTGAAACAATTTCCATACCTTGTTTCACACAGTTCCGCGTATTTTGATGTTTTCATTTATTTGAGTTGTACAGAAAGTTGAGCGCGATATATGGTTGAAATTGGCATCAATTCGAGATCTAAGATGTTTTCTGGATATGACTGTGCACCGAAGTATGACATTATCAGAACAGGTCACTTGAAACCTTTTGGCTGGATCTCAATCAATCAATCACCATCCCCAAACCCAAACAAGCAGAGCAACACCATCACTCCCGAGGGGTGTCTCAACCTTGGATGGGAGTCTCAAACCTTGGATGGCAGTCTCAACCTTGGACGGTAGTCTCAACCTTGGATTTGAGCCTCAACCTTGGACGGGAGTCTCAACCTTGGATGGGAGTCTCGACCTTGGATTTGAGTCTCAACCTTGGACGTTAGTCTCAACCTTGGATTTGAGTCTCAACCTTGGACGGGAGTCTCAACCTTGGATGGGAGTCTCAACCTTGGATTTGAGTCTCAACCTTGGACGGCAGTCTCAACCTTGGATGGGAGTCTCAACCTTGGATTTGAGTCTCAACCTTGGACGGGAGTCTCAACCTTGGATGGGAGTCTCAACAGTGGATGGGAGTCTCAACCTTGGATTGGAGTCTCAACCTTGGATTTGAGTCTCAACCTTGGATGGGAGTCTCAACCTTGGACGGTAGTCTCAACCTTGGATAGGGGTCTCAACCTTGGACGGTAGTCTCAACCTTGGATTTGAGTCTCGACCTTGGAGGGGTGTTTCAACCTTGGATGGGAGTCTCAACCTTGGATGGGAGTCTCAACCTTGGATGGGAGTCTCAACCTTGAATTTGAGTCTCAACCTTGGATGGGAGTCTCAACCTTGGACGGTAGTCTCAACCTTGGATGGGAGTCTCAAGTCTCAACCTTGGATTTGAGTCTCAAACTTGGACGGTAGTCTCAACCTTGGATGGGAGTCTCAACCTTGGATTGGAGTCTCAACATTGGAGGGGCGTCTCAACCTTGGAGGGGAGTTTCAACCTTTGAGGGGAGTCTCAACCTTGGACTGGAGTCTCAACCTTGGATGTGGTTCAGCTTAGCATTCTGAACCTTCCCTGCCTTGCGGCTACAAACCCATGAGGAAATTGCATAGGTCCACTCTAGCCATCGTACTTCCTTGTGTTGGATGAGTGTGCCTCGGGGCCGCTTCCATGCTTTCACCAAGTTTGGCTGACTGGCGACATTTCGGAGCTCTTAGCTTCATATAATTCACAATAATTTCCAGCATAGACTTTGACTCGATTGCAACGGTAGTCGTCAGTCAGTGCTTCTCTGTCGATGAAGCAGTACGTGCCCGTGGTAGCTGATTTATATATCGCGAAATTGAGACAAAACTTTCTGACATTTTCCGAACTGCGATACTTACCAGATTCACAGGAGCCCTAAAAAACTTACCAGATTTACAAGGTAAGAGTCCTTAAAACGTTTCCCTTTCGTGTCTGTGGATTACAATGTTTACCTTTCCAGTTTGTTGGGTTTTTTTTATTTGTTGGACTGTAATTTAATATCGTTTTTTAAAATGTATATTTGATTTCGTATTTTTACATCCACATAGTAGTTTATATAAATAGATTGTTGTTAGTATCACTAGCTCTTGTATCGTTTTCTCTGTATACTTGTTTTCAATCCTTTGTTATGCACTGTTCATTTAATAATCCAAATCTTCAAGCCTATTCAATTTGAAAAAAAACGACCTAATGGTACCTAACAAATGATGACACTTTATGGACATTGAATTAAACCAACAATTGCACTGCTCTTGCTTTTTCTGATGCGAACTGCTCCATGATGTTTTCAGGGTTAATTTTCTCACATTCTTCTTTTTCTACGCTGAACAAATCAAGATTCCCTAAGTTCGCCTTATCCCATACTTGCCCTTAAATGATCAAGAATTGGTTTCATTGCGCTTAGCGATCTTTCGAATCTGGAATCGGAAACTGTACTGGTTGGTGTTATCCTGAATAGAAATGCGAAAATTAGGAGAAGACACGCTCGTCTCCATACAATAAACTTGACACGTTCTTCGCGCCGTGCTATCTTAAGTGTTGGAACGGCTTGACAGTGCTATTCAGCAATCCAACCTCACTTCACACAGCTGCTCCCAATCAATGACAGAGCCACAGCTGCTCCCAATCAATGACAGAGCCACTGGTGCTCCCAATCAATGACAGAGCCACTGGTGCTCCCAATCAATGACAGAGCCACTGGTGCTCCCAATCAATGACAGAGCCACTGGTGCTCCCAATCAATGACAGAGCCACTGGTGCTCCCAATCAATGACAGAGCCACTGGTGCCCCCAATCAATGACAGAGCCACTGGTGCTCCCAATCAATGACAGAGCCACTGGTGCTCCCAATCAATGACAGAGCCACTGGTGCGGTCCTCCTTGGACTTTTTCTTTTTTTCTTTTTTACTTAGTGGCAACATTTTTTGGACTTAACCGTAAACATTTTCACGGAAAGGGGGGGGGGGCAAATATTGTCATACTCCAGTGGTACTAACACTAGCTACGCCACTGAGGGGGCGGGCAAATATTGTCATACTCCAGTGGTACTAACACTAGCTACGCCACTGAGGGGGCTTTTTTTTTTTGAGATAACATATTTGGCCACGTCATAAATAATAGAAGGACACTAATATTTACCTAGACCAGCCTGAGCTGGTTCTCTTTCAATTTTGCAAGTTTTATTTTCATTTCTGTATTATTATCGATCCCGAAAATTCCAAGCGGGAATTCCCGCAAGATTCACAGAAATGATTATAAAAACTGCGTCAATGGGGGATGAATTAAATAGGCCATTGTAATGCGTTTGAAGGTTAGAGCCGTCACCTGCTGCAGCGAGAGCTATTACAGGTAATTCTAATTTCTAGAGTTTACTGAAGCATTGCTAATTGTTTTTATTCATATTTGGTACACACACATGTAATTTAAAAACTCAGTAAAATTTCTCGATTTGAATTTTTTTTTTAAACAGTTAAAAACATTACATTTTGGACGCTGCACGTTTGACATGAAGGAATTGATATTACATTTTGTTTAATGCTAACTTTATCATTTGACTGTACGGCGTCCTTTACAGCTACATATTAATTGGAAAAATAAATTTATATCAAACAAAAATTGACATAACCAAAAATTAGCTTTTAATTTGTGAGTTTAAAATCATTTAATACTTACCACATATGCCCCTCTTTTTCTGGCCTTTGTACGTAGTGTAAAGAAATAACTTTTCAGTTCTTTAATTACTTACAAAAGTTTTTTTTACTTTTTTAAAAATTTAATTTGAAATTGATGAATTTATATTTTACCTTAGGTTAACCGTGTGGACTTGCCGGCACATTTCGAGACCCTTTTCAAAAGAATAACCATAAAATGGCTTATTACGGTTCCCAAAGAAGGGGTACTGTGGATTACCTAAAGTACGCTGTACAAAAAAACGAGCTTTGTCCCCCTTACTGGACGAATAGAGGACAGTTTTGGGCATCTCAGCCAGTTTTGGTTCCCGTTGATGAAAGAACAAAAGAAGCCATCAAAGCCCTCGTGGAAGAAACCTGGAACAGACATGAAGTGGGAAGAGGTCGCGATGCTAAAAATCTGAGTTATTCCAAACTTGTTGTGAAAAATGTGGAAAGAGTTGAGAATCTACAACTGTTTAAGAAATACGCCACGGCGAGAAGAGAGATGATGGAGAGACAGATTCGCAAAGGTGTAGTCTGCCCTGCTGTCGAAACTATATGCAAGTCTAGGGAGCAGGTTGCAACAACTAATTTACTCTGGGGCCAGAAGGCATTCATGAAAGAGGACCTTTACCTTGAGGTCAACGAACACTATTTGTTCCACGGGACGACGGTGGACAGAATTGGGGGTCTGACCAGTATTGGGTTTAATGTTGGTCAGTCGGACAGCAACAACATGTTTGGACGAGGCATTTACCTAGCAGAGAAGACCAATAAAGCTGATCAGTATGCTGGTACGTATAAATGGGCTTCGCTTTTTTTCAGTTAGGAGATGATAGCTACTTTGAACACTAAATATGCTTTCTAGCCAAGAGGTAGCGAGTTTAAATGGGTTAGGAATTCCCTCAGCTACAGGCTGAGAATTCTATAGGCGCGGCGACGGTAAAGCTTGGTGGGAAACTCCTATCACACAAGATTGTTGTTATCTTACCTCTTAGTTATAACGCAAATCTTGCCTCTTAAAGTTATAACACGAATCTTACCTCTTACAGATATAAAACGAATCTTACCTCTTACTGTTATAAAACGAACCTTACCTCTTACAGATATAAAACGAATCTTACCTCTTACAGATATAACACGAATCTTACCTCTTACAGTTATAAAACGAATCTTACCTCTTACAGTTCTAACACGAATCTTACCTCCTACAGTTATAACACGAATCTTAACTCTTACAGTTCTAACACGAATCTTACCTCCTACAGTTATAACACGAATCTTAACTCTTACAGTTATAACACGAATCTTACCTCCTACAGTTATAACACGAATCTTACCTCCTACAGTTATAACACGAATCTTACCTCCTACAGTTATAACACGAATCTTAAGTTATAACACGAATCTTAACTCTTACAGTTATAACACGAATCTTACCTCCTACAGTTATAACACGAATCTTACCTCCTACAGTTATAACACGAATCTTACCTCCTACAGTTATAACACGAATCTTACCTCCTACAGTTATAACACGAATCTTACCTCCTACAGTTATAACACGACTCGTACCTCCTACAGTTCTAACACAAATCTAACCTCTTACACTTACATTACACGAACTAAAATAAGGAACTACCAACAAATGTTTGATTCTAATAACGCTTGCGTTTAGAGACACGATAACTTAGGTCTCTAGGATTTAATTTGCTTGATAAACGAAATTCTCAATGAGAACAATTTTATGTGAACAAATGTTTCTTTTTCTCTTAACTTAGACCAAAGGGATGCCAGGAGTCCTCATGGACACCGACTCAAGCTCATCCTCTGTAGAACACTCCTTGGAAATGTCTGTGCACGCGAGGGTTAGTGGAGACCAAGCTCTTTACGATAACTATCTGAGACCAGTCGATTTACATTTCTTTATAACGATCTGACACCAATCTATTTACATCTTGTTATAACTATATAAGACCAATATATTTACATCTCTTTATGACTATCCGAGACCACTATATTTGCCACTTTTTATAACTATCTGAGACCAATCTTTTTACATCTCTTTATAACTATCTGAGACCAATCTTTTTACATCTCTTTATAACTATCTGAGACCAATCTTTTTACATCTCTTTATAACTATCTGAGACCAATCTATTTACATCTTTTTTATAAATATCTGAAAACAATATATTTAAAACTCTTTATAACTATCTGAGTCCAATCTATTTACACCTCTCTATAACTATCTGAGACCAATCTATTTACACCTCTCTATAACTATCTGAGACCAATCTATTTACACCTCTCTATAATTATCTGAGACCAATCTATTTACACCTCTCTATAACTATCTGAGACCAATCTATTTACACCTCTCTATAACTATCTGAGACCAATCTAATTACACCTCTCTATAACTATCTGAGACCAATCTATTTACACCTCTCTATAACTATCTGAGACCAATCTATTTACTCCTCTCTATAACTATCTGAGGCCAATCTATTTACACCTCTCTATAACTATCTGAGACCAATCTATTTACACCTCTCTATAACTATCTGAGACCACTCTATTTACACCTCTCTATAACTATCTGAGACCAATCTATTTACACCTCTCTATAACTATCTGAGACCAATCTATTTACACCTCTCTATAACTATCTGAGAAAAATCTATTTACACCTCTCTATAACTATCTGAGTCCAATCTATTTACACCTCTCTATAACTATCTGAGACCAATCTATTTACACCGATCTATTATTCTCCGACACCACACCAATCTGTTTAACTTATCCTATTGACTATCTGATTATCCGTTCAAACATGACATGTTCTGATTGTTTATAATACAAGTTTACATATCTTTGATGACTCTTCTTTCAAATCTCAAGTGGTTCACATGACGTTGATATTCTAATCTATGGGGGGGGGGGGGGGGGGGGGGTGGGGGGAATCGTATCACAGTACGACGCAACTGACCTTAGCTACGCCACGGAATGGAAAAGAAACTATAGTGAATTATACATTTTATTTCCGTATATTTCCGTTAAGATAACACGTACATCCATTACCACTAGAGAATGGCAGATGGGGAAGTGGCATCGTTGGTGGGATGAGGTGGGGCAATGTGATGTGTTTCATGAGGTGAAGGGAATAGAGTATTGCATGGAGGGGAAGATAGAAGTTTACAAGAAGGCAAGAATGGGGAAAGGTAAAAGTTTATGAGGCACAGTAATGGGAAAGCTGTGATGACCGACGCGCCTTCCATAGCATTGGATTTACTTTCCATGAGTGCTACACAGTGCTACATGACAGTGCTACACAGAAATTGCATCCTAATGCAGACCAGATTATATCTAGGCTTTCGTCGCAGTAACTACATTTTTAAGCAAACGGCACTACGACGAGACTTTAAAATAAAAAAAAAAGTTTCGGGAGCTTTTCGTATGTTTGGTTAATTTTGATTTTTTTTTTTTTAAATATACTTGGGGCGTTTTCAGCACAAAGTTACCGCATGTATTTGTGTTAACACCGTAAGGAATCCAATAAGAATAACTGTGATTGACGTCTACGGTTTCGATATGAATAAACCAACCAGAATATTATCTTTTAGTGTGTTTCGTTGTTATTAATTTAAGCAAATCGCAAGACAATGTCCTGTATATTTATTTGTGTAAACTTACATTAGATATTGAGTGGATTTCCTGATACAAATTGTGTTTTGAATGCAAACCCCGACACCTAGTCTTTGGAGCTCGTAACTATGTTTTCTGAGAGGTGAAAAGGGGGGGGGGGGGGGGGTGTCAGGATAACCTAGCGTTCTTTTAACCGAACAGGAGTTACGTTGTTTCATATACAATCTACTCCTACTTAAACACGCGTAGTACTTTATTATACAACATTTAGTGCACAGTTTTCATAAACAGCGTATCGGGACCAGGTGGTTAAATATCAAAAGCGGGTAAGTACTGGACAATTCATTTCCGTGACTATATAGCGTTGTCCGAAAACGAGCTGCAGGACCTAAGAGTAAACTCCGAAGTCAGTTTGAGTTTGTAGTGCGTGTATTCTGATATGTATGTGTTAATACTTGTATGGTAACTCAACAAGTATGCGGATCGCTTTACCTCAGTCTGGTAACCGCCAGACGCATATAGGTTTTTACCTGGATTGTGTGACTAGATCGGCATTATTTTACGTTGTTTGTTATCCGCAAATGACATTGACATCCGCATTGCGTACGATAATATAAAAATATAGACATCTTCAGGGCAGATAGCTAACTATTCGTATAATTGGACGTTCTACTTAACTGTATGTATGAATATCATTTTTTTAGAAAGATTTTGTCATGTGAGCCATGATCAAATCCATTCTTTTCTTTTCACCCGTATTTCAGCGCCTGAGCGTTTGATGGCCCCTCCTGGGAACTTCGACTCCGTTATTGTGGACGGACGCTTCATGTACCGGGAGTTTGTTGTCTACGATGACAGTCGCCTGTACCCTGAATACGTCATCACATATTCCAGAGAGTAAACTGTTCTGAAGACTGTTGTTGTTTTTTTTTTTAATAACAAAGCATATCAGAAATTTGTTCATATTTATGTTATAGCAATGATTCTGGCGGACTTGATAGAAAGTCAAGAGCTACAAACTAATTGGCCGACAATCAATGTTAAATAAATATATAGAGAAAGAACGCCTTCAGCCATGATAAAATTGTTCTTAATGGCAGTAGGAGCTCCAATGGTTAAAAAATGAAATTCTGTCACAAAAGCTTTTGTATGATTTTTAAAAAAAATATCTTTAATTTTAAAATGGAATCAGAATGTGTTTATATAGTTTTTAAAGAGCAAATATCATTTAAAGATCACCAATGATTTAAAGATGATTCAATATTATAAGGTCCTCAATGTTTTAAAGATCATCAATTATTTAAAGATCATCAATTATTTAAAGTTCATCCATTATTTGAAGATCATCCATTAGTTTAGCATCATTAAAGATTTTCAATTGTCCTTATCGTTCTTGTTATTGTGATAATGCATCTTTCAATTCTTTTAGCTCGGTGCATAATTAGACTTGCCACACGTATCTCTAAGCCAGTGGTTCTTAACCTTTTTGGAGGTACCGAACCCCACCAGTTTCATATGCGCATTTACCGAACCCTTCTTAATAGGAAAAATAAAATATGATTTTTTTGTTCTGATTTTGTGGGGGATCCCCGCCGAACCCCTAAGACTGACTCACCGAACCCTGGGGTTCAATCGAACCCAGGTTACGAACCACTACTCTAAGCAAACCATCTGTGTGACTCCTCGGCATGTTTGTCTATGGTTTCAATCTCAGTTGGGTAGAAATTGATGTGTCCCTGTCTACGTCACATACTCTCGCACACATTGTTCATACCAGGACTTTGTTTGTTATCAAATTCCATAGTTAATGTAACTTAGCTTAAACGTATGTGTTGAAAGATTTTTCAAGTTCTAAATTTGATACGTTGCATTGTGTACAAGGCATTTAATTGATGTTAATTTCAGACCTTGTTCAATTCGAGGATTAGAGCACCATGTTAAGAGTGCAGTCATTGGCTCTCCCCCCCCCACCCCTGCCACTTCCCATCGACTCCACACCACCCCATCCCCCCTCCCCCCCCCCACCCCCCCCCCCCCCGAATTTTCACACAAAGAAAAGAGCTAAATAATACGCTAGAAAGTAAGTAAGTCTCAGTATTATCTTAGATCTTCTGGATTTTATAATTATCATTTGTTTAAAATGATTAAATTTAGGCTGTCTTGATTGGATGATGTCCTCGAAAACCATTTACTTTTTTTTTTAATGAGAGTAGACTATTGTTAGTGAGAAACTATTTTAAAGTCTATAATAATTTGTGTTGCAGTTATAAGAATAAAAGCAATCAAATTCTTTGAGTACATCATTCGCGACGGATTTCTTTATTGTTTGGTTTCATTTCAAAAGCTCTTCGTGTGCTTCATGCTTATGATTTAACAACTTTTCACATTACACTTTATTAAATTATTATCAAAAAAACAAAAAATAAACATGTTTGCACAATGAGTAAATTGTGTTTTAGATAGTTTTATTGCTGTTCATTTTATTTATTTAATTATATTATTTTAAACGCAGAATTTTCAGAAAAAACTCAAATGTATTTCCATTGCTGAAGTTATCTAACTTTAAAGATTGCCGATCAACTTAAATTAGAAAAATTGTAGGAATAATATTAAAATAATTCGAAAAATCAGAATTGGGAAAAAAAATAATAGTGAATTAAGATCTCAACTATATTCTGAAAGAAAAACAAAAACAAAAGGAGGGGAAAAATGGTCTAGTTGTGCTATAAATCTATGGGGGGAAAAAGACATTTCAATTCAATTAACATCAATAAAACCTGAACTATTCGTAAGCCCCTAATTTGATTTCGCATTCAATTTTTAAACGTTCTAGAATATTATAGTTGATTTGTGCACACACAAAAAATGATGATGAATAAAATAATGAATCAGCAATATAATAAATGACAAATGGACGATCCTTCGATCCAAAAAAAATAAATATATTATTCTGATGGTAATAATAAAAATCAATCTCATCTATTTGATCCTATTAAAACATAATGTCAAATTAATTTAAGCTAAAATAATTATATGAAGCAGGCCTCACGAAATAACTAAAATTGACAACATTTTAACTATACACTAAACTTAACACTTTTTTACCCGGGGTCCTCAAACTATGGCCGCGGCTCATCTCCAACCCTCTCGGTTACCTTTCCATTACTGGTACCCTAATGCAGGCCTAATGCTTACCGTTAAAATACTTATAAAGTTATGCTCAGTAAAATACTTCTTCATTTGAAATATATATTTTTTTTGTTTTGTGCGTTTGTTGTTGTTGTATTTCGAAACTTCACATAAAATATTTGCCAAGGGCGTAGGAATTAGTTCCTTTTCTTTTTTCTTTTTCTTTTTTTTTTTTTTTTTTTTTTTTTTTTTTTTTTTGGGGGGGGGGGCACACCATAGTCCAGCCTTCCGTGGTGTCCGAGGGGCGGTTAACCTGTTCGGTTAGTTCGCGGAGCCTAGAAATATATAAAATAGCTTTATTGGATTAAACGTAGTATACATATTTGATTATATGAGGTGTTTATCATTGTCAGTTGTATGGCGTTCAGCTTACCCGAGATATAAGCAGTTCAATGAGATTAATCATTGTCAGTTTAATGGCATTCAGCGTTCCATAAATGTAAGCAGTTCTTTTTGGATTTTCCATGCTGTAATGCAAACTACTAAATGAATTTCGTAAAAATGTGGGAATTTGTAAAAAAAATATATATATTTTTTTAAATAAATAATTTTAATGAGTATTATAGGACATGCTATGAAATCTTTAAAATCATTGTATCTACCTTGTATTTTAAATCGAAAATCCCACTGAAGAATATATATGTTGTGAAAATAACATTGAATACCCGGGTACTCAAGTCGTTTCTTTTAAAGACAACTCCTATTTATGGCGAAAACGTTGTAGAGGAAAGACATTTAAATCATTTTTTTCAAAGTCTTCGATTTTGATTTTCAATTAGCAGTTACAATATATTAGTAAATATTAACTAGTTTATGAAATTTTAATAGGAACTTTTATCACAGAGAGAGCCATCACTATTCAAGACAACATAAAAACAAGGCACTTTTAAAAATCTGGCCTGATTCTCCGACATGAGCTTTACGAAGTGTTCCACGTGGAAAATTATAGCAAAAAGAAAAAAAATACAATTTCAATATTGAAAGTACGTGAAAAAAACATATATCAGTCGCATAAATAATTGCTAGAATTTTATGAGATTAAACATTTATTACGTTTCATATTTATGAGAAAGATATTTCAAGCAATGTGAATGGAAGTGTAAAAGCAATTGTGCATCTGAGCAGATTAATTTTGTAAATGCACAAAGACGGAGTCTATGGTGAGCCCAGTTGCTATTTCTTGAACGGCAACATCACTATGCTTTTAAACTGACAAAGTAGTTAACATAAAGGTTGTCCCAAGCTCTGGGGAAACAAAGAAAACCTCTGTGTGGCTCAGTGTAAAGTGGGGTGGATATTCATGGTATTTAACTTAGCGAAGATAAAAAAATATTCAGTTATTCAGTCAACTGCCTGAGACAATAACAGATAGTCATTGAACATTAAAAAATACGTAAATTGTTATTATGAAATGCTTGTACTTTTCTCGGCGTATCAGACTCGCTTATAGGTGATCACATATTCAGGATAGCATTGAGAACTCTCGTAGACAACAAACTCTCTGAAGAGCCACCTGCCATCTCCCATCACAGAATCGAAGAAAGTTCGGTCTCCACATTTGCAGATGTCTTCGGAACATGACATACAAGGGGGGCGAGTCAATCTTCTGCTTGCTGTTAAATTAAACCAAGTTGATGTTTTCAGTTAGTTTACAACAACAAAAATTTAAAAAGATAATAATCAAGTATAAAAAAAAATAATAAAAGCCTAATGTTGTTTTTTTAATAGTTACAATAATATGCTTTGAAGGTTTATTTTAAATATGTATCTGTAAATAATTTGCTTGTCCGTAAATGTTCTGATATTGGTCGGTACAGTTTATTACTTTATGTATTTGAGTTGGCAACCCTGTCTCAGCGGCAGTGTTTATTTCAGAAATTTCTCCCCCGGAGGGGGGGGGGGACGACACTTCAGATTTTTCGGGGTGGGGGCAGTGCCAGTTGATTTATTGATGGACATATTTTTGCTCCGGGGGGACAATTGGCTTTCCCGGGGGGGCACAGGGGGTTGGCGGGGGGGGGGGGGGAGTGCCCCTCTCCCCCCGGAGATATAGCTGAAAGAAACCCTGCTCAGCGTTGTTAAGTTATTAAATTTAAATTTCCATAATTGTTAAGTTCCGTCCAAACTCAGCCTACTAATTTGTGTATACGCTCAATGAAATAAAATGAAATAAACAAGGTTTACCTTTGCATCGTACAGATATATGATTGCTATCACAAATAAACACATTTCCTAGAAGCATCCTCGTCAATATAAGAGTCAGCTTTGTGCCCTTGGGTGTTCTTTGTTGTTTCGAATCTATGTTTGAAAAAAATCGTATTTAACTATATTTAATTGTTATAAAAAGAAGTCATCCGATCTCAAAATGACAGATGGAGAGATACGAGAAATAAATCTGAATAACTAACTTCAAATGATTTTTTTTTTAAATTGGAATCAAATCCATTATCGTGCAGTATTTTTTTTTTATTTTACAAATAATAAAACACAACACACTATTTAAACAAATAATAAATAGTCACAAAATTAAATGAACTAATTTCTAATCAATGATTAAAGTTTATTTGAAAGCCAGGACATTGTTAACGGTGAAAATAATTATTTTACTATCATCTTGCAGTTTGTACGTGTGTGCGTTTGGGGGGGGGNGGGGGGGGGGGGGGGGGTTGGAGGGTTATTTGTTTGTGTGTTGTTCCGTTTTTAAAGATCTACTCTAATATCAATTTAATTTGCTTTAAGAATTTAAATTAATAATGTTAGGATATTTTAAAGGGAATACTGTTGATGTGAATTAAATATTTATAAGGACAAAAATTATGGTTTGAGTCTTATAAAATATAAGTTTACGTAGAAAATAATTTTTTACCTGAATATTGATCAGACTTTGTAACTCTCTCGGCGGCATAAATTCCTTTCCCAAACACGGCAGCTCCATTAGAAAGCCATGGGTCAAGGCCATTGTGAATAAGAGCACTTACTGTATCTGATTTCGTTCCATGGAAAAAATAATGTTCGTTTACTTCATGGTACAGCTCTTTTTTCATCGAGTCACTTAGTAGCTCTGTTGTAAAAACTTGTCCTTTTGAGCCTGTAAGTTTTCCAATGTCTGGGCAGATTTTTCCTTTCCAAACCATTTTATCAATGAGACTTTTTCTTTTTAATCGATAAAGTTCAAACAGTTTAGGATTTTCTACTCTTCTAACATTAAGAACTTTAAGACTGGCATACCGTAATCCCGTTGCATCCTTCCCGAGGCCAACATGATTTAAATCCAATGTTTCAGCAACAAGTTTTGTGATTGCATCCTTGGTTTCTGTATCTACTTTAACTAAAAGCCTTTTACTATTTTCCCAATAAATACCATTTCGTAAATTGCTCCAAAACTTTATGGACTTATTAAGACTCCAGTATGAGGGTATAGGCTCATCACTATCAGCCGCATATCTCATGAACTCAACAGTTCCTCTTCTAGGGGCCTTATCGGAAGTTAATCTTTTCTTTGGTAAATGACTTGATTCTTCAAGCAATACCTGTTGAATAAATATTTTAATCTGAGCAATAGCCCTCTTTTCTCCTGTCAACTTGAATCCCACATGTTTGGTTTTGGGGTAAATGGATCGTTCAGCCCAGACTGATAACCTCATTGCTTCTTTTAGAATTTTTTCCTCAGATATGTGTGACAAATGATAAAATAAGTTTTGGTTAAAATAATCAACCTGTAGAGTCGTCTCGCGTATATCTTTGACTATCTTGTTCTTAACAGATTCTAGACTATTAACTCCATTTAGGGTTGTGACACTGATTACAGCATTGCTTGTAGCTTGTATGGCACACACATGTTTCGGAGTGAGCATATCAGCAGAACTTACGTTGTCATCAGAACTTACGTTGTCATCAGAACTTACGTTGTCATCAGAACTTACGTTGTCATCAGAACTTACGTTGTCATCAGAACTTACGTTGTCATCACTTTCACTTTCAGAGTCATGAGTCATATAGTGGGGTGGACTCAAAGCGACGAAACCAAATTTATCGGCAGGTAAAAGCCACGGGCTTTGCGTTTTCATTAACTGGGCTTCTCTTGAATCAATACTGGTTTGAGAGAGCTGATTAGTCTGATGAAATTTTGGATTAAAATGTGAGGCCAAAACAAACTTGGGGAACTCTGCAATAACCAGAAACTTGTCCTTGTATTTGTAACTATCTATTTTCTCTTTCATTTGCCCACCTTCAAAACTTTTTTGAATCAATAAAACTTCATGTCTTTTGAAATGATCCAATAAATTCCAGGTCTCAGAAATCACATTGTCTTTTAGATCTTGTAATCTTTGAAGTACTCTGGGTGTTTCGTATACACTACCTTCAAATCTAATCGAGATTTTAGTTTCCTTTGATAAAAATTCGGTCACTTCAACTAATTTGAGCATGTGTTTCAATGTGTCATTTAGGCAAAAATGAAAGAATTGGGATAGTGGCCACTTGCACTTAAACGAGCCTTCATATTTTAAAAACTGTGTATTATCATTCTCACTTACACACCATTGAACAGTCTCAGCTATGTCCTGGTCGCTAGGCACAGCGGGCTTTGCATTAGCATGACCTGCACCTTTAGTTTTGGATGCTTTACAATTTTTGGATCTCTCTTTATTTGGTTGATTTTGATTGCCATGGATAGGACTTGTTTCATTTGACGCATTATCATGAAATGCAATTCTTTTTTGTTCAATAAACCCTTCTCCTTTATCAAATTTCATAAGTATTTCATCCTTTTTCCCCCCTAACTGAGTTGGATATTTTGATTCTGTTTTCTCAAGCTTGTCTATTCGTCTCTCCAGTTCCATAAATCTCTCTTCTACCTTTTGTTGAAAATGAGCATGATTTTTTTCTGAATCTATCCCATGAGTGAGCCTAAGTCCAAGGTAATATTGATCAGTTTCTCTACTAGGCCGTCTATTATTTTTCTTCATTCGAAGTCGCTTTAATTCAATTTTCAGTATTTCATTTTCTTCTTTCAAATTGTCCAGCTTTTCTTCCAGCTGAAATAGTTTTTTCTCCAAATCAAATCGCCCAGTGGCCCTCACTCCTTCTCCAGAAACCCTTTTACGGCACATCACCCGTTCAGATACATGTTGTCCATTTTGTTCTTTCCCTGTGTCGAAACTCTCAATATTTTGAGTGTGTAAAGTTTCTTCAACATCATCATCTAACTCATCATCTTCGTCTGAAAGCCTGTGTCTCCAAAATGATGCCATCAAAATCCTTCTTTTTCAACAACTTCATTTAGCAATATTTATCCAATATTATTGTTAATGTTATTAATACACTTAGAGAATTGGAACATGAGGAATTGTTTCATCTTGCTTTTACAAACATTGAAGGATGATAGCAGAATCTTTGTTTCCAAGTCCTGAAAATTCTGCTGCAATTTTTAAAATATAATTATTAAAGGATTTCCTGATCATGATAAAAATAAATACTACACAAAACATCTGCTTTTTTAGAAATTAAGCCTACTTGAGAATGAATTTGTTTGTCTTAAAGGTTTCACTTAAGATCAAGTGAATGAAGTATTTTTTTTTAAAGACTCATTAGGAAATGATAACGTGTTGAAGAAGTTATCCATATGTTATCTCAAACAAAATAGAAGGTCTCAGGACCCAAAACTTTTGAGAAGTTTTTACTTGTAAACCAAAATGGATTTCAACAATGTAATTTTTTGTACATGAATATCTCCTAGTATATAAGTTGTTATTTTGTAATTTAAATATAGATATTTGCACGTGAAACTGAGCTGGGCGATATTTATTTATTTATTTTTTATTTATTTAGGCATTTTTGTATAGCGCTTTCCTTAAAGCTCTAAGCGCTTTACAATTATTAAAAACATGTAAACTAAGTAAAATTAAAATAAAAAAACAGAGACAAAAAGGAAAAATGTAGAGAGATTTCACTGCTGCCTATCAAGCGCTAGTGAACCGGAAGTCACGATATACATGAAATGGTCAAAATTTGGCATGACATCCTTTTAAAAAGACTCATTGTTTGTGCAAAATGATTTGTTCTTAAAGCATTTCTCAGAATGAAAAGGAGTCGGATGAGCTAAGGCCATACTTTATTGACGGCCCCGTATCTCCCCCGTCAATATTAGATACGAATGTCATTGTTAGATGACGTCAGTTACATGCCCACCAACATCTACTATCAAATTAAACAACACGCTGAAAACAAGGCTTTTAGGATAAATCCTTAATAAAGTGTAATAGCAGGCAATGGGGTGGGGCTGAAAATTGGACCCTAACCCAATTAGTTCTGCCCCCTCCCCAAGGCTCCCAAACGCTCATTTTTTTTTTCTTCACATCCCTGAGCTAAATTAATATTCTTATGACCAACTAGCTTTTACACTGCAGATTTTTTTTGCCATGCCAGAAAAACAAAAGAAAATATTTCGCACAAAACGCACTTGCGATATCTTTCTTTAGAATCTCACGAAGCGCAGATATTGGGAATTTTATTTCATGAAATTAGTGTCATCATATTTTTCTTCAACTTCGCCTTGAAATCTAGGTAAAAATTGATTGATTTGATTGATTTTTTTTTGGTTTTTTTTTTTTTGGGGGGGGGGGGCGACTGAACATTTGATAAATGTGTTGTCATTGGCAAAGAGTATATGTGCCAAGTTTCAGCTCGATATTTGTTGTAGGGAAGTGGGTCAATTAGCCCTCCGAAGATTTTCCAGCTGTCCATGAAAAAAGTGACGCTAATATAAAGTATTTAAATTCAGGAGTAAATGTCATCAACAGCAGATAAAGCCATTTAGAAGTTTGAGAATCTGGTAAGCATAAAATAGACCCAAATAAAATGATTTATCACATAAAGATGTATATGAGCGTCTTGTATCATTTTTTAAAGATAGTGTTTTATTAATAGAGTACGCCAGAAAATTCTTTTGAAACATTAGCAGACTATGGGTTGATAACGGAAATTTAAAAAATTGTGCAATAAAAATGATTTTTTTTTTCTTTTACCCCTAATTAACTTTTGCTACAATTTTTTTTTTCTTATACGAATCATATGTTCTAATTTTAAAAATGTAATAACTATTTTATTTCGGTTCTTTCATTATTTGTTATAGTTTGTAGTTAATGACAATGGGGAATACGGTATACATTTTTAGAAGGAACATTTGAATTCTGACAAAATTTGACGTGTCGGTTAGAGGAAAAAGCTAGCTAAGCATTCATTACTTGTGGAAGAACAACGGTTAATTGTGAATTAGAATAAGTTTGTATCATTAAAGTTCTTTATTTTACGTAATTTTTTTTTCTATTTGACTTTTGTTAGCTAACTGTAGTTTGGTAAGAAGAAAACATGATATTTTTTTTTAAATACTATGATAAAAGGGAGGCTGTTATCGAGTGAAAAGATATAATTTTTGTGAGATTTTTAATGTCTTTTTAATTGCCTTTTTGAACAAAAAAATTCTACTTATCGATAAGGAACACACATAAAAAAATGTATGATTAATTAATCAGTAAAATTTGGTAGTATACCATACATTCCACACTCCAAACAGACAGGTCTAGGCATACTTATGATCAACTCGATCAGGACGAATTAAAAGTCCATAAAAGTTAGGACTGTAAGATATACAAACTCTTTTGTTCCTCATATGTTACAACTCAACAGGTTTGTTTTCTCTTCTGGCTGTTACAAAGCCAAAAAATCACTTTTAGTCCCTAATGTCAGTAATCAGTAAGGGAGTTGGGTTTGTTTTTGTTTGCAGAGTCATAGAGTCGACCATGCAACCCTTGCATGGGGTCTCCAAAAGTCACATGACGGCTCTATGTGTATGACTGCTTATCTTTGCACTTGAAAAATAAATTAGTCGATTGGATGTGTTGCGTTTAATTTTTTTGTAGTTTTAAAATGTATCTTTAAGAATTTTTGTTATTTATACATGTGCTAGAGATGTGTACAGTGTCGTCAAAAAAAAATAAAAAATCCCCATTTTAGGCATTTATTTCGATTACGAAAAGAATCTAATCTATCTTATGCTTACCAATAATAATAAAATTATGCTAATTTTAATTGAAATAAGCGTAAAATTGAGGGCATACCTACGTATTGGTCAAGGCTTTACTGATGATTGACATTATAGCAAACAATGTCCATGTTGTTTCACTTTCAAGGGGAAACAACATTTCCCAGAATCAATACATAGGGGATTTCCGCTAAATTGCTTGTACTGTCTTCTTTTTTTTCTCTTAATTTACTGTCGGGATTTCCTTTTGATGTTTCAATAGTAATTCTATTTATTCCTTAAAAAGTGGTTATAGAAGATGACGATACTATCCTCAGGGGCCCTTGGGTAGCTAAAACGAATTTGTTGAATTTTATTAAAATTAAAAAGAGATTAAATGCTACTTTGAGAGTGCCCTGATCATCGCATGTAGAACAAATCCAAACAGGATTGAAATCAAAGATGACTTGCGATCAGTCGAAGAACCATATTACGGTTTACTCACGTCTTTAATCTCAGGCTAAGTCGGTAGTGGATGATTTCACAGTGCAAATAGTGGGGGGATTTATTCAGTTTCTGTACAGCAATCGCCGATGCTGCAAAACTGCCGTGAATTCGTTTAAAAAAAATTCACCCGCTGCATGATGCCCGTCTCGCGCCAAAACACCATTCAGTATACGCTTCATGTAAGAAAGATGCTTCTATCAGAAGGGGTTTCCGAAGCCTTTTATTCAAGAGAATATTCCAAATGGCAAAATAAAAGATCACTATCGTCAGATTGGATTAAGGAGCTGCGATAGACAATCGTCATTTTTAACCTGCGCTCTGTGATAACTACTTAAATACAAGTAAAAAAAAATGTCCATAATAATATTGAGATCTGTGCATTTTGTAAACGCCCAAAACTACATCTAAATGTACAGCTTCAAAGAATATTGATCTTTATAATATAAACATCACGACTGAAGAGCAGCAGGTCTAATTTGAAAACTTCAATTTTATCAATACTCATTTTGTCAGCGCTCCGGAATAAATATGGAGGCATCTGGACATAACAATGCATGGCGGAACTCATTCTGTCATATGACTACCATTGCCCCCCACCGGATCGTGAACAACTAACGTTCGGGACAGGGAAATATGGAAGAGGCTTTGCTGGCAGCGCAAACAGGTTTCAACTCAACCAGTGATTCTTTCAGAAATTTTCACTTCAGATGGGGGGGGGGGCACTTCAGATTTTTCGGG